GTATGTATGTATATATATATATATGTATGTATGTATGTATAGTATATATATATATATATATATATATATATATATATATATATATATATATATATATATATATATAACAGCAACTCAATCAAATTAGCCTAGGCCTAAAGTTGACCCAACAAGATCCCTTTGTGAGCTTTGACTATTTTTCCCAAAAGTTAGGCTTGGCTTACAAAACCAAACTGAACATATGGTCGGCTAAGTGAACATAAGGTCCATTGTATGTCAAATTTACCTAAGTGAACATTGCACTAGCCTATGCAGAGAAATCATGAATCAACAATGCTCAAATTTTACATGCATATACAAATTACATGTAGATAGGAGGGATGAGAAAACATACAAACCTTGGGAGGCTCTAAAAGTTGGGTTCTTAATTTTGCTAGCTTTGCCTTTAGCTGCCCAAGGTGGTACTCTATATGAGAAAGAAAAAGAGATTAACATTTACATGCAAAACTTATAGCATTCATATTTACTACAACAAAGAACTATCATGATTTAAACAAATAGTGAAACTGATAGCATTCGTGTTTACTTTAGTACAAGTTGAATATGTATGGTGGAAAAATCTATGGGTATTTACATGCAACAAGAAAGAAAAGAACCTGTAGCCTTATTCTTTTGAGTCCTGGCCATCTCAGCCTCGATCTCCTTGATTCTCTCAAGGATACCCATGTTTATTAGATATAAAACAAACCTGCCAAAAAAGGAAATGCCACAGATACATCACCAAATGTCACATAACAATTTGGCAATAGCATGGCGATGCAAAGCAAGATAATCATTAGAGAGAAAATGATATGAGTGTAAACAAATAAGCTGATCTTCAGAAACCAAAAGTAAGTACTGGTTCAGATACAAAAATCAAGTTATCCAAAAGCACTTCTAAAAAGACCACCGGAGAGAATCATTGGATATTTACTACAGAAGTCACGGTATATTTAGAAAATGAAAGTCTCATAATTTGTGATTTATGTGCTAATAGATGTCAAATAATCACATGTAAGTCATGTGTGATGGAGAAAAGTAAATCAAATTGCAAAAAATGCAAAAGAAAAGGAAAGGTTCAGACTAGTTATAAAGTTACAAGAATCAAATAAATTGAGAAAAGGCATACAACTTGTATAATAGAACAAATACCATTTGCATCAAAAATTTTACTTTCATCTTTACTTACCTCTGTAACAAATGCAGATAATGACACTGATATAAAAGCTTTTATTAGCAAGGGCAGATAACATTGTGGATTATTATGCAGACATAACAGGAGTCAAGGATATTGCTATGTTAAAGCATAAGCATTTACTATAACAAAGAACTATCAGGTGTTGAAAAAAAATTGAATATGCAGCATGATATGAGAAACTACTACTTTGGATGCAAAATTAAAAAGCAAATCCCACTTAAACTAAAGAATTCTGGCATCTGGAGCATATTAATCCAATTGTAATCATATATAACAAGGCAGCAACTAACAATGGAACATCAGACAAACTGGTCATCCGATTCCTCACTACAACCATCATCAGAAGTTGGCCCGACCCTACTACTAAAATCATATAAAAACATAGACCACCTTGTCGCAACAGGAACACATCACATGCCTTCACCTCTTGCTTCCTTCCTGTAATTATATGTACTTACTGTTCCCATCATATATGCTAAAGTACTAGAGAATACTATCAGCCCTAAATGCAATGTCTTTATTAGTTCTGTGACATATTTCTATATCAATTAGTGTTATATGCTAGATGTTAACCAAATCAAGAAAAACAGATTTCTATGAAGCTGCACGCCACTTCATTAAGGAAGGAAGATCCTAGTTCCTATTATACTCGTACCATCGTTTAGGAAGCATCTCTGTGTTAAATCGACACTCCTAAATTCATGAAACGTCTATATATAACAGAAAACATAATCTTCAACGATCGTCGTAAGGAAGCCCTCGACTCGACCGACCGTTTATTCATGGATCCGCAAGATCAAAGGAAGCATCGCCAATGCGACGAGCGTTCCCCACTAATCATTGTTTGTTGTCACATATCACAATCCAAAGATCGACGAGTTCCGGATATCTTTAGTCCGTGTTATGAGGTGAACTAAAACACAATAATTTTGAGGAGAAAATCTAGCAGAAAAACTAGATTCCAATCGAGAAAGGGATTACAAGATAGCACACAGAGAAAATATCAACGGCGGAAAGAAGGTGACAAAAGGAAGAAAACGAACCCTAGGAGAAGAAGAGATCAGCGGCGGTGGTGATCGAAGAAACGAGGGAGGAACGATTAACCGCAGTGCCGCCCACCTATGACGAGTTCGCGGGTGGGGATCGTGGAAGGAGGGTTTAAAGGGAGTTCACGGATCCAATGGTACCCGTAAGTCCGCAGTGTTTTCCGCCCGGCTGTGTGTCACCCGTATAATCTACCCTTACGACAATAGATTATAACTGTGGGATCCACTGCAACAAACGAATAGTAGTACGAAAACAAGTAAGAAGTGTCTGTGGGTGGGTCGTGGAAGGTTTCCCATATCATACGGCAATCAGATACATCCCAAAAGAACTTTAATTACCATGATAACGCGGTAATTTATAGCTAAGTGGAAGGTAAATAAAATTTTCTTAAAAAATAGGGTAAATTTTCTTAAAAAGTAATTATTTAAGTAAATTTTAAATATAGATCAAATATTTCTAAAAAAAATATTAATACTTATACCAAGTATTTAGGAGGAATTGTCTTGAAAGATCTCTGGTTTTAGTTTTTGTTTTACGGAGATCCGTTTTAGAAAATTATCTACGAGCTTCCTTTCATATGACTGATGGATAAAACTTGTAGAGGCTCGTTAATTATTCTAAGTTGCACTCACACGATGATGAATGTAACAAAGATGTTATTTTGATTACACATAAGTTTTACGTGAATCATCATATATTATGATACTCATATTTCGATAAATTTATCTCATTCTATTCAATAGGTTTTCAATCGTATGAGTCAATACAATCGATCAAACAGATGGAAGACAAACGCAAACAAGTTCCTTGCTTTTGTATGAAAATTGGATTCAAAGTTATAAGGAAAAGAGAAATTAAGTGATTAAACATTTAAAAAAAATAAAAAAAAACCAAAACTCTAGAAATATATTATATTTTTAAAAATTTCAATATACTATCTTAGGATTTTCAGCAATATAAAAAAAGCATTATAACATCATATAAAAATATTAAAATATAGTGTTTCAATAAATTTTATAAACATTTTGTGTTTTTATAAAATTTTATAAAAAAATTATAAACATTTTGTGTTTTTATAAACATTTTGAAATTTTATAAAAATTTCAATATACACAAAATGTTTATAAAATTACAATGTTTTTATACTATCTTAGGATTTTCAGCAATATAAAAAAAGCATTATAACATCATATAAAAATATTAAAATATAGTGTTTTTAATAAATTTTATAAACATTTTGTGTTTAGTGTTTATACACTATGTTATAGTATTTTCAAAAATATGTTATAATATTTTATTTTTAATATGACTAAAAATATTATAAATATAGTATAAAAATATTATAACATAATATTTTTTTTATTATATTATAATATTTTTTTAGTATTATTAAAAATATTATAATATATTATAAAAATATTTTAACTATGCATTGACCCATATTTAAAAAATAGTATTATTTAAAGTTAAAGTGCCCAAATATTCGTGCGGTGTCTTTATTGAATTATAATTATGCAAAAATATTTACAATAATTGTGGTTCTTATCGCATCTATCTTGAGTCTAGGTCCACGTGCACTTCACGTGTAGCGGTCACGGAAGGAGGAGGGGGCCCAGAGAACGCCATCCCTCCCACTTCGCCGGTCGACCAGTCGGCGGGGTGAGACGGCAATCTCTTCATCTCTTCATTTAAAACAACAGGACATATCATCGAGCACGTCGCGGTGTTGCCTCCTTCCTCCGCTCTCGGGCCGTTGCCCACCGAAATGGCCGTCGCCCTGTCCCTCCCCTTACCCCCGTCCCCGGCACGTCGGCGCAGGCCGCTGCCGGGGCCGCAACGGGCCTCTCGGCAGAGACTCCGCTCAGCACTCATCGAGGCCCGGCCCGTCCCCGCGGCCAAGACTAAGGGCGGGGGCAGCGCAGGAAGAGGGCATTACGCCATGGAGCTCGCGGTGGAGACGCAGGCGCCCGCCGCTCCTCTCTCCATCATTTCCACAGATCGCACCGTTGACATGCAAGCTGAGGTGCGAGCCTTGGCACGCGCCGCCAATGCCACCGTCTATAGCCCCCAGGTCCTCGCAGCCAAATATGCCTCTCGACCCCTCAAGGTAAGTCTCAATTCGAGGGTTTCTTCCCTCTGCCCCCGGCTTCTTGATGTTGGTAATGTTGGTGGTAGGTGCTGTTGAGGATGATGGAGATCATCACAGCGTTGGGCACCTTCGCGTTGAAGCTATCCGTGGACCAGCGGCGAGGGCAGCTCGACCAGCGGAAGCGGCAGAGGGCGGTGGAACTGACGAAAACCCTGACGCGATTGGGACCGACATTCGTGAAGATTGGGCAGGGCCTGTCCACCCGACCGGACATCTGCCCACCCGAATATCTGGAGGAGCTCGCCGAATTACAGGTCTCCTGCTCGGTCTAACCGATTGCCCCTTTGTTCTTGATAGTAATCGTTAATCAATTTCTCGGCTGGTTCGTTCTTCTTGTTGGAGCAGGATGCGCTCCCGACGTTTCCGAATGAGGAAGCATTTGCTTGCATCGAGAGGGAGCTAGGTATGCCTCTCGATTCCCTTTACTCGGCCATATCGGCAGAGCCGATTGCGGCTGCGAGTCTAGGCCAGGTCTACAAGGCTCAGCTTAAGTGCTCAGGCCAGGTTGTCGCCATTAAGGTGCAAAGGCCAGGGATTGAAGAAGCAATTGGGTTGGATTTTTATCTTCTGAGAGGTATAGGTTTTCTGATAAATAAGCACGTTGATTTCATCTCCACCAATGTCGTTGCTCTAATTGATGAGTTTGCCAAAAGGGTTTACCAGGAGCTTAATTATGTTCAGGTACATAACTCATGAGTCCATTACAATATGTATCCAGTCGATAAGAAACTCTATATGCCTCAATGTTTTACAGTAGTGTTTTATACAGGAAGGCCAGAATGCACGGAGATTTAAGAAGTTATATGCTGACAAGAAAGAAGTCCTTGTGCCAGATATATATTGGGATTACACTAGTGCAAAGGTGCTGACGATGGATTGGGTGAATGGGGTTAAGCTTAGTGAGCAAGAAGCCATCGAGAAGCAAGGTTTGAAGATGTTGGACTTGGTTAATGTTGGTGTCCAATGTAGCTTAAGGCAATTGCTTGAATATGGGTTCTTTCATGCTGACCCTCATCCTGGTAATCTCCTAGCAACACCAGAGGGAAAACTTGCTTTTATTGATTTTGGTATGATGAGCGAAACACCAGAGGAAGCAAGATCTGCTATTATTGGTCATGTAGTTCACATGGTTAATCGGGATTATGATGCCATGGCACGTGATTACTATGCATTGAATTTTCTAACATGTGATGTAGATGTATCTCCAATTGTCCCAGCTCTTAGGAATTTCTTTGATGATGCACTCAATTCAACCGTAAGTGAGCTCAACTTTAAGACCATTGTGGATGGTCTAGGAAATGTTTTATACCAATATCCCTTTAACGGTGAGTTTTATTTGTACCTAGCATTGGACTTCACTCATGATATTGCTCATCTATGTTTGAAAAACTCCAGAGAGCAGACTTGTGCATTTATGCTGATTTAGAATTGCAATATCTCTGCTAGCCATATATTTAAAATTACGTTAGATATACAACACATTGACATCTAGCAAGTTTGTTAACTTATAGTGTGCTTTACTTGCTCGCAGTTCCAGCGTATTATGCGCTAATATTGAGGTCACTCACAGTGCTAGAAGGTCTAGCCCTTTATGCTGATCCAAACTTTAAGGTGCTTGCTGCCTCATATCCATATTTTGCTAAAAGACTTCTTACTGATCCAAATCCATATCTTAGAGATGCTCTCATTGATCTATTGTTCAAAGATGGCAGATTCAGGCAAGCAACTGAATTGATTCAATTTGGTGCAATATATTATGATTGGTCATTGGACCTACTTGGAATTGTCACCTAGTCAGGATTAACTTGTGTGGTACCTCTACCTAGCATGCAGGTGGAATAGGCTTGAGAACCTTCTTGTTCAAGGACGAAAGGATAAAGATTTTACTACTAAAGAAGCTTTGCAACCTGTTTTGAAGCTATTACTGGGTCCTGATGGTGAAGAGTTACGAGTTCTTCTTGTGAAAGAGGCTGTTTGTGTCACTGAAGCTATTGTCTTGGGTACGATGATTGATGCATATAAATCCATACCTGACTTCATGAAGGGCCTGATCAATAATGGCAATACAAGTGGACCTTTTAAGCTTAGTGATGGCGAACAAGCACGGATGCTAGAGCTTCGAGATAGAGTATTAAGAATATGGAGCCTATTGAGATCGTCAGATGACTTTGATCCAAGCCTTTTGCAACCAATTTTGCAGGTACTGCCAATTACACTATCATTATTCCATTATCAGGTATGCACTAATCAAAATTACATGGTGGTCTAGATTTGCAGTTAAAATTGTGGACTTTGCTTCGTACACTATTATGTTAGATTGGAGACAACCCACAAATTTTTGATATTTGCAAATTTGCCTCTCCATTTTCTTTTTATAAATCTAACCTTCAAACCATGGTCAGTTATCAAAGTGATCAAATATGGCATCTCAATTTTGTGTGGTGATTGCCAAAAGGTTTTTTATCCTTAGAATCCACTGAATCTAAACCACTCTCCTTAAGTATGCTACCCAATCACTAGTGTACAAGCTGATTGCGAAAAAAATCTAGTCTATAAGTTTATATTGATAAGTATATTGTAAGCTTTTAGGAAATGAGTAGCTCTATTATGAGTAGCTCTATCATACCTACCAAAGTTACATATTATACCGATACACTCTTAGCAACAACTTCCCACTTCAATGGAGCTTCACATCAGTGCAGCTTTGATCAAGCTTTTTTAATGTTTTATAGGCATCTTCAAGTCCATATGTGAGTCATTGTTTGTTTCTCCTCACCCTACCCACCAACATCTTTCGTTTTTTTTGTCCTTTTGAGTTTGTGTCATTGACATGTTTGTTTGGTATGGCATTGGCATGATTCATGCTGCTAGTACAAATTTAGTTGGCTTCTGATCAAATATAGGGGCATGTCACAGCTAGTGACTTGAACTATGAAGTATTTTCCAGATCACTATTAAAGGAATTATCCGAAGTATTTTCTGAATTTAAGGAATTAAAAATATTCTTTATGACAATCACAATGGATTTCAATAAACTCTGTTTAGATAATATGTCTTTGTAGTCCAACCATAACCAATAAAGGCATTTAATCGAGGCAATAAAACCATAACCAAAACCCTATTAATAAAAGTGAGTACTAATTCTATGATCTTACAATTATAGCATGTGCCATAAAAATCAAAAGCCTTCCTTTCCTAACCATCAATAAGTTCTGTACTTGTTGATGTACTTCTGCATCTGGTCTGAGGTTCCTTCATCTAGTCTGAGGATATTGGATTTAGAAATGGGATACTTTTTTATTGATATTTCTTTTTTTCTAATATCTTAGTTATTGATGACCCATTTGTCTGATAAGCCAACAAATGAATTGCCTTGATGAGGGTTCATATGGTAGACATTCGTGTTTTGTCCTTATCCTAGTTAGACATCCACTAACGTAAGTTGGACAATTGGATGTTATGATTATACTGCTTGAGTTTGATCTGATCTTTTTTGTTGAAGTCCTTTCATGGCTTCTTTAGCCTTTTAAAAAGGTTCTCATATATGAATATCTAGATTTTTATTGTTCCAAATGCCGGTCTTCGTGTAGGCATCATATGCTGTATTTTCAATCATAAAACCAATGATTAGGCATCATCTGCTGTATTTTCAATCATAAAACCAACGATTAAGACATTACATAATTTGATGGAGTCTCAGCCATTGCTTTCTAAAACATGAGATTCATAAATGGCATGTCCGATAGAACAGGGTACAGCTTGTATATTAAGGTTTGGTGATGTAAAACAAGGTAGAGAAATAGAGAGAGAGAGAGAGTAAAAGAGGAGTGAGATTAAAGATTAAAGAGTAAAGAAAGAGAGGAATGTGATTAGAGATTAGAGAGCAGAGAAAGAGAGGGGTTAGATTAGTGATTAGAGAGGAGAGAAAGAGGTTGGATGCAATATCTTTTCATTTAAATCTGAAATATCTCATCCATTGACAAGCTCTATTATTTATAGGGATCTAGGAGTCTTAGTATAATTAATGAAGACAATGATTCTAAAAAGTAATATACTAGGGAACTTGTATGCCTTTTAAAAATTCAAAATATGACTTCTAGGAGACTTAAATAGCTTTAAAACAACTTATTCAAACCGAACTCGTTGACACTTCTAATCATTTCCCTCAAATTGTCACCAAACCGAACTCGTTGACCCATTACTTGGATTTGTGGGTTTCTAGTAGGTTGTAAGAATTCATCATTAAGGTTAAAAACTTGGTCATTAGGAATTGTTGAAGCATGATTATGAACAAGTGTCCTATATGTGGATCTAGGATTTGTTTGAAGTAGAGCTTAAGGAGTAGGTCAAATTCCTTGATTAGAAGCTATAGATTATGGAGAATGGTCATGTTGCCTAATTGACTCATCAGCCTCCTTATTTATATGTCGTTTTTCAAGGCATTGGAGAGCGCTATTAGAACTTAGGTCATTTGATCAGATAACTAGTTCAACATTATGTGATGATATACTAGTTTAGCCCTATGGGTATCTACCTCACTCTTTTAGTTTTGGGAATCATCATTTTTGGGTTGGTTTTCACATTGCTTGGTCATGATTCTAATGCTACTGACAAATTACTTTTTGGTAATGAGGTTGTTAATTGTTACACTGCACAAGATAGAAATACAATGATTCAAGTGGTTCTCTCACTTTTTTTTTTTCCCAAGACAACTTTCAAGGGTTTAAAATTTGAATGGTGCCTTAGTTGTAGTTTAAGGGGAGAGAGAGATAGTGATAAATAGAAAAAAAAAAGAGGAGAAAACAAGGGAAGAAGCGATGAAAACCATAATATAACAAAATATACGATTTTTTTTTGACAAAAGTATTAGTGAAGTTTTCAAAAATTACCAAGCATCGAGAGCTAATTGGTTCAACAATTCCGAAGGGACAGTCGTTCTAAAGTCCAACTCCACATGCAAGGGATTGATGTTGGAGGTGTAAGAATCCGTGTCGTTGATTGAAACTCTTGTTGCTAGTTGAGGCCCAATGGGGTGTAGGGTAGGTTTACAATGTGACTTCTAGGAAACTTAAATAGCTTTAAAACAACTTATTAGGGCTGAGAAGAAAAAATGTGCATTTAATACGAAAGTAGAGCCTCAAGGTTAGCACCTAGAAAGACAAAAAAGACTACTATTTTTTCACACAACTTTTAGAATTTTTAGGTTAATTAATTGATGATTTTTTGCTAAATTTTTTATAATTCTTCTGAAATTCTATAAAGCTAGATGGCTCTCATCATTTTGGTTAGTCTCTTTTATTTGTTGTTCTATTTCTCATGTGTTTGAGATTCTGGTAAATGATTTTGTTGGACCATCATCAACAAGTTTGCTTTTTAGATCGTTAGATGGAACCACAGTTTGGTCCATTGTCAGAATGAGACAAAGCATGCTCTTTATTTAATCCATTATACCACAGATAAAAAAGGAAAAAGAAAACAACAGCATCGCTGTTCAATGTTTTGTTCTCCTGATGCATATCAACTCTATCCATGTAAAAAACTTGCATTCCATTTCCTCTTTTGAGAGATTCATTGCAAGTATTTACATATGGTCCTTAAGCATGTCACTGCACAGGTTCTGGAAGAACCAGAAGCTCGCAACCTTGGTGGTCGTGTGTTTGGAGGAATTACACAACGCCTGGCAGCTCGACTGCTACAACAAGTCCTCAGATATCCTACCACCACTTCTGTTCCTCGATAGAAGTTACCAGCTTAAGCAGTGGTACATGTCCTCTCATGCTTTTTTGGCACAGCAAATGTGATTCGATTATATGCTCTTCTTTAGTGTATACGTTCCAGTTAATGGATGAAAGTCCATTTCTGATCATCATACTCCTGCATAGTCTTCTATGTTCTTAATGTTTTAGTCATTAATACTGCAATCCTCTTCGTGAAAAATACTCTTCTTCACTGATAGTTGAAAGCTATTCCAAAGAACATGACAGGTTGGGCCACATTTCTAGGGCAATCTTGTTGGGTTGGGTTGGGTTGTATTGACTGGTCCCAGTTGGGGTCAACTCCTACTTAACTCATCTTCGGCTGAATGTTGTATAACACTACTCGAACGCTTACCTTTGCAAAGTTACAAAAAACCATTGTTAGATGCATCAGCTGTCATTGTTCGATCTGCAAGTAATCTTAATGTCACCCACAATCCTGTTTTCCCCACCTAGGCTTCTCCAGATGCGATTTAGAAGAATGCTTCCATTACTGTTGGAATGTATAGAGTTCGTTTACTTCACTTTCTATACTGGTTCTATAATTCAGGATAAGTTGTATAATTCTTTTATTTGACTATATATTGTCTTTCCTTTTGGATGCACAATTTTCAATGCATATAGTTTGCTGTATAATTTAGAGTTATAGCCAGATCATATAATTCCAATACTTGGCTGTATAGTATAATTCTTTTTATCTGTATAATATCTTTTAGTCGTACAATTGTGGATCTAGTGAGGTTCTACCTAAGTCTTGTAACCAAGGCAAGTTGTTGGGTGACAGGGAGACGATTCACATGGTCACATTTAGGTGGGGGCTCCATGCGTGCATGGGGAAGGACAAAAGTGTCGGTGAGCATGAAGAGAAATTGGGTACGTCAAAACTAGAATGAAAATTGACTTTTTGAGATCTGGCACATTTATTTACTATTGTTGGTCAGAACCCCTTGGACCCACGTGCCTATGCTGAATTTAGATGACCACTCGTACTTTGACCATGGATTTGTGCCACCGACAAGCCTTTGACAATGAATTCAGATATTATTTGGGCGAAATTGCATGCATGTCCCTACAAAGTAAGTGAATCTTAATATTAGAGGGACATATATGCTATATTAACATCGTTAGGGGCAAAGCTTGCTTATATATATATATATATATATATCCTTGTAATTAGTCTTCATCATTTGATAAGGTTTTGTTATTTTAATGGAAAATAAAACCATTTTAATTTTTTATACAATGATAAGAATATCAAATGTAGTTTAGATATTTTAAATTTTAAACTTTTTTAAACTCAAGTTAGTTTGCTGACTAGGGTTTATGATGTTACACCAAGTCATTTTTGGGATGATAACAATAGGGATATAGATGGAGGGATTTTAGCAACATGTTATTGCTAGACTTTACAGTAACAAATGCATAAAGTGTTTGTTGAGACACTTGATTGGTTAGTACATTATTACAGAAATGATAGGTTTCAATGTTTAAACTTAGGAGTAAGCGACATATATCTTTTTAATATAATAAAAAATATAAAAATGATAAAGATTGATAGGAATTATTATTAAGAAAAGAACAAATACTTAAATGCCATGTACCTGTGTTCTTTGAAATAATGTGCTTTTGGAAGGTGTTCAGAAGGTCTATGTTTCAGAATTTATTTTGTCTTCTAAAAGCATTTTTTTTTTAAATGATATGGACATCAACTTTCTTATGTGCAATTTTCTTTCTAAAATATGTTATTTATTTTTATTATTTAAAGTTTTGATGTTAATTATTTTTTTTCTTTTAGATTCTATGGTTATGGACTATGGTCTTGTGTTTGCAATTCTTTTTGGACATATGGATATGCTGTAGGAGAAAAAGAATAGAAAAGAAAAAAGCATGGGAATTATCAGCTTGACCCCAATCACTATGTCCAATGTGTCATACACAGGAAGACGTAGTAGACTTTAACATTCCCACTTCTCATTCCCCTGAGAAAAGAGTTGCAATAAGTAGGAGATACACATTACTCACCCACCTTATTTGACGAAAGGAAAATTTAAACCCTATGCCATTTTCTGGTCAATAATCTTAGATTTTTGGAGGACTTTTGTGATTTCTGCTCGATTAAAGCACAATCATACTAAACTTGGATTAATGTAATCACGAAAAGAAATTTATGCATAAGTATGACATTTTTCAGAGAATCCTTACAAATATAAACTTAAAGTATATGTTCACGTAGATATTAACATTTAGATGGGTGCATATGCAAAAAGAAAAAAAAATCAATTTCCTTATATAGACCCTATATGTGTATTTCCCTATATAAATTTTAAAATTTTCTTGATATAGGAACGCCAATCAGACCCATTTAACAATCAAATTATTAATTTTTTTACAAAGAAAAAATATTAACCACCACACTAATATTTTGTGTCAAATATATATATATATATATATATATATATATATATATAAACCTAAGTTGGTATCGAAAAATAGATATAACAAGTCAATTTGAGGTTTGAAATCTTAGGTATCCAAGGATAAAGACATTAAGTCACCCCAATAATAAAAAAAAAACATAGGGTAAATTTTTAGAAAAAATCCCTAGTTTTAAGAAATTTTTTTAAAGTGTTTCTATTAAAAAAAAATTCATAAGAGTCCCTACTTCTCAAAATGACAAAGTATCTTTCAATAAACTCTTGTCCTTTTTCCTTGAAGCAGCTTAACTAATCTAAAACTCACTATTGATGGGGTACTAGATGGTGAGGTATCAATTGCTAAGCTACCACCTAAGGGACCATCTGTTGGTTAAATTCATACAGGTGTAGTTTTTTTTAGATAACTAGGTAATGAATTTGTTTCTTATTCTAACAACAAGACACTCATGAAATATTCAATGCATGTATAGATGATATCCTAAAAGAGTAATCCGAGACACGTGAACCCTAACAATCACAATACAAAAATTGTGATATGTGCTTAGGACATTCATGTTCTTTGTGAGGCAACATAGTTAGGGTCATGCAATCAGTAAAATGTTACCCAATGAGCTTAAAAAATACGTACCGATGATACAAATATATGGTCTACAAACTTATGTCGTGTAGTCTCTATGAAATGAGTAGTCATAAGAAGAAGAGAATAAAGGAAAGTTGTTGTGAAAAAGAGAAGATGAGGAATATAACTAGACATTTCTATCATGAACTCTTGGAAAATAATAAATTAGATAAGAAGGTGGATCTAGATAACATTTATCTTCTTCATGATGAAGGACCAAGTGAAGGTCAAATCTCAAGGATGAAGATTAACTAAGAAAAGGAGATGGCTACAATTTTGAAAGTTGTTAATAGTTTTTATAAGATACCAAACTGAGTTAGTCTGAAGTGAGTTATTTTGATCTTTTAGACTATTGAGAAAAATGAAGTCACTATAGGGGAAGAAGTGGCATTAATCTTATGCAAGCTAAAGTCGTCATGAGTTACATGATATTTTTTGCTTATGGCTTAATTGTATATAATAAGTATTCCATTTATTATTAAATATAAGACAACTAACATTTCCTTGATGTTATAATTTATCAATCAAAGTTATTTGGAAAGACAACATATGTCGTATTGCTTCTTGAAGTTGATAGATTTCAATAGTATGATAGACAAGGATGTAATAGATATATATGCCAATATTTTAATTCAGAAAGCACGAGCATCGTCACTTGAAGAATCTTATGTAATGTCGATAGTGATGTATTCGAGATACATATGTATTTAGAATTTTTTGATATTTTTCTTATTTAGCATAGGATTTTTATGTTAGTGAAATTGATGATATTGTTTCAGAAATATTTCAAAGTATAGGGTAACGAATTATTTAGACAAAATAACAAGATTGATGAAGGAGGGCCAATTAAATATCTTTTTATGTTATTAAATTAGAGCATTAGCACAATTTGGGAGCATTACAATTCAATATCCAATTTAAAAAGTAAAATACTTAGATATTATAAGGTGGTAAGTGTTCTACAAATTCCTTTAATTGTTTTATTTCATAAATAAATATAATGAAGTGTGTTTCCATTGTTATAAATGTAGACTTTGAAGAATGTGAGTGACACCAATCTAAAATTGTTGTATTTTGGGATTGTGCCAATCATCAATTCAAAGGGATGGACATATCAAAATATACCCTATTCGGAGAAAATTACATCATAAGTTACCAATTTTGAAGACTTTGAAATACCATACACATTTTGTCAATGATTAATTATATAATTAATGATCTTTGTATATTCTAAGAATTATTGTTCCATATTCATGATAAAGTTTATCGAGCATTTAATTTTTGGATATTCTATTTACACATTCTCTTGGAAGTAGATGAAGGCATATTGTCTGTAAATTGCATGAGTTATGGATGACAAATAATTTTGTGGATACTATGCTTCTTAGTATGTATAAAAGTCTTTTATGATATCTGAAATGAGACAAATCACCTTTGAAAATTATATATATGGATCAATTTTATGGAGAATATGACTCTTTAAAATTTTGTATCGTTCCTTATATTAAATTATATAATTTTTTTTTTTAAGACGTTACATAGCATTTCTCTAATGTGTATCCCTATGTGTATTGGATAGTAGGATATATTTTTTCCATAATTTTCTAACATATTTATAAGCTCAAATGTCAACAAAAACATAGTGTTTCTCTAATGTGTATCTCAATGTCTATGTCCACAAGCTATGGTACATGCAATTTTTGTTGACATTTGAGCTTATAAATATGTTAGAAAATCATTTTAAAATTATGGTTTGGGAAAAAATATATCCTAATATACAATACATTATTTTTGGGATCAATTCAAAAATAGTATATCGTATAAGAGGACTAGTCAAAATAATTTGAAATCTTCTAAAGACCTTGGAATGGCACTAAGATGGACTTTATAATATTTTTATTTTAGATATTTTTAAATTATTTGAACTATTCAACATTAGAACAATGTGCCTTTTTTATTTTTCTCTCAGTATTTTCCATTTGCACTAAAAAATCATAGACAAATACAATATTTTTTGATATTTAAGCTTTTAAATATGTCAGAAAACCATGGAAAATATTTGGTTCAGAAAAGTTTTTTCTAATATGTGATACACTATTTTTGGGGTCAATACAAAGATAGTGTATAGCATATGAGGATTGGTCTAAATAATCTAAAATCTTATGAAAAATATGAAATGACAGTAAGGTGGACTTTTACAATTTCCTTTCTATTTTAAATTTTTTTGATATTTTTGTAGATTATTCAACATATAAACTATGGGACATATTCTATTTTTCTTCAAGTTTTTTCCATTTGCACCAAAATAACATAGATTCATGTAATGTTTTTTAATATTTGAGCTTCTAAATATGTCAAATAATCATGAAAAAAATTTGATCTAGAAAAAATATTATCTAATATATGATACACTTTTTTTTAATGTTCAATTCAAAAAATAATATATCGTATAAGAGGACTAATCAAAATGATATGAAATCTTTAAAAAAAACCATGTAATGACACTAAGATGGACTTTTATAATATTTTTTAATTTTATCAATTATTCAGTGTCAAAACAGTGTGCCTTTTATCATTTTTTCCTAAGTCTTTTTTCCCATTTGCATAGAAAAATCATGTATATATGTAATATTTTTTTATATTTGAGCTATTAAATATGTTAAAAAACAATGAAAAATTTTGGTCAAGAAAAGTAATTTTCTAATATGGGATATATTATTTTTTGGGATCAATTAAAAAACAATGTATCTATCACATAGGAGGATTGATCAAAATAATATGAAATCTTTTGAAAAACTTAGAGGCACTAAGATGGACTTTTATAATGTCTTTTCTATTTTAGACATTTTTTGATTTTTTTAATTATTCAACATCAAAATAAAGTGTCTTTTTCTAATTTTCTAATTTTATTTTTACTGCAATGTTTTTTTAATATTTTAGCTTCTAAATATGTCCATACACAAAGGTAAAAATATTTTCTAATCAACTCTTAGTTTCTAAG